AGACCAGTGTTCCCAACCTTCTTGGGTCCTTGGACCAGTAAACTTCCATTAAATTTTCGCCGACAGGCTAATTCCCAAAATAATTTTAAATATAGACTGGCAAAGTTTTATAACATTTTTGCAGACTGAAAAGTGTTGCTTGAAATACTTCACAACTGCCATTTAAAATTTTTCAGTTTTGTTGTACAAATTAGGAAGAATGAATTAAGCAGCTACTCAGTAGAATGTCTTCAAAAATTAGAAAGTTGGGCTTGAAGAAAGGTTTCTCAGACTGAAAAGTTGAAATAATTTATTTCAGCTGGTGAAATAAAAGCCACATTTTATCCTCTCATAGGATAATTGAAACTGCAGTTGTCTTCCCTACAATTCAGATAAAAATAACAGACTTCATTGTTATTTTTCTTAATTTATTATGGTGCAGGCAATTTTCTGCGGACCAGCAAAAAACGTCTGCAAACCAGTGGCAGTCCGCGTACCTTATTGGGTTTGGGAAAACTGCTATCTGTAGACTAGATACTATACAGCAGAAAGCCCACCTGTAGAATAGATTTCATCTTTTATTCCTGAATGAGAGAAATGGTCACACACATAATTTGCATAATTTCTGAGCCTCTGATTTATACACTCACTCATTCCTCAAAATATGAAACAATGCTATGCAGAAACGCAATAATGCAATACAAATCAAGAAAATCCGTGGATGACTGATGAAAAGAATAAATATTGCATCTGGTTCACCTGCTGTTCGGTTGGACGCATAAAAATCCAAGGTGTGTTACCCTCATAGGATGCCACCCATTGTCGGATGATCGCGTTCCTTCCGCATTCCCGCGTTTTCTTGACCACTTTTTGTGCGTTATAATTTCTTGCTGGCGAAGTGGATCAGGTAGCAGTAAAGAGAGCAACTCCATGACAGTGTTATGAATATCTCACTGTCGACGAAAAGCTCTCTTCAGCGCCCCTTTTTGTCCTCAACCTCCTTCCGTTAACTGTGAAGTGCAGGGCATCCGTGGTGCTCGGACATTATGGCCGTTTTCAACTCGCCGCCGCTCACCTCCACGCTACTCCAGTAAAGGGATATTCACTTCCACTCGGTCTCTGCCAGCGCCATCAATGAGTAACTTTATAAATAACGCAGGGTTTTGAAGAGGATTTTCAGGTTGAACCTTCTTGAGAAAAACAATATTCAACTCATTTCAAACCAAACCTGACCTGATGTAACCATAACCAACCTAATACCTGACCTAACCTAACCAACCTAATACCTGACCTAAACTAACCAACCTAATACCTGACCTAAACTAACCAATCTAATACCTGACCTAAACTAACCAACCTAATAACTGAACCTGACCTAACCTAACCAACCTAATACCTGACCTAAACTAACCAACCTAATACCTGACCTAAACTAACCAACCTCACCTGTAGTATTTATTTGAAATGATGTGTTCTATAGTAGTGTTCCCCAACCTTTTTGCAGTTTTTGGTCTCGCGGACGGGCAAATCTTGATTAAATCTGTTGCGGACCGGCATATTTTCAGAAAAATGCTCTGCGGGCAATGTTCCTTACAATTTGTGATGAGTAGCATTATTGTTTCAAATACCTGCCATACAGTCCTCAACCTAATTTAAGCTGTATGAGGTTTGTTTTAAAAACCAATGAAGCAGCTTTATAAGGGAGTGTTCAAAAAATAGGAAGCCTTCAAGAAAGGTTCCCCAAATTGATAAAACAAAATATTTCAGCTGGTGAAATATGCCTGCAGTGCTATCAAGAGAGAAGTTATTATTATTCTTCATTGGATGATTTCGACTGCTTTCAAAAATTTTGGATTGCCATAACATCGACTTCATAGTTGCTTTTCATGAAGTTGTTATGTTGATGAAATTTTCCTGCGGACCGGCAAGCAATTTTGTGGACCATAGCAGGTGTGCGGATCACGGGTTGGGAACACTGTTCTATAGTATGCGCAATGTTATTCTGTCTTGGGAGTCCTCTCTGAATATATATTACGACTAAAATTATTCCTGCTGAACTCACTCACTTATTGGAGTTGGAAGCCACCGGTGGCTCTGGGAGAGACTGGCGCTCGTAAGGGTGGCGTGGAAGCAATAGCCCTGGAAGCAGCGGCTCTGAGTAGAAGTTGTGCCATAACGTCGCGTCACGTGCGTATCGCGCCGAGTCACTCCTGTTTCCCAAGGAAGACGACGATCGCGCCTCGCGGCAAGTGATACAGTGCTTCGCAAACCCTGAAACGTGGCCTGGAGTCAAGGGCAAATGTATTTAAACGACCACAACTCATCTTTGCTATTCCAGGTCATGAGAACACGACGTGTTATTTGCATGACCAGCAAAAGAGGCGGGACTCGCGGGACGGGTTGGGCTAACGAATCTTCTCAGAGGTGAATCATTTTCTCTGTGATGAAATCGAATAATCCGGACGACTCCGTTGCTCCGCTCTTCTTCGCAGAAATATACTCGCCTTACGATCTCGATAGGAAGTGAACTTCTATATAGGTAGCTGAAAACAGATCTGCTTTAACCATTTCAACAGCGAACTATTGATCACGAATGTGTAGAACTCGAACCAACCAAAAATCCAATCATTCATCCAATGTACATTTCATTTCTGTGTCTGTGGTACGGACTAAGGTCTTTTGGGCAAATTTAATAAATCAATTTTTTGTGAAATCTAAGATTACTTTGAGTAAGATTAGTTTGAATTAACCGAGTTTCAACGACAAAGCGTGATTTAAGCTTTGAATGCAGCACTTCCTATATTGTACGAAAACATATTTGTGTCAACGAATGTCCATGTAATTTCTAGATTCACGCGCTTACTTCGAGTATATGTGCTGCTAAACCTGCCCAGATTTAAATACAGTATTTGAAATTTAATACTGTAATTGAAATAACATTTTTCGGAATCCGAGGGATCTCATCAAGCAGACGAGAAGTATGTTTGAGAAAATATGTTATAGCCTCCTTGATTCCTCTCCTCTTAAATTCAAAACAAGCCAATGATCGATTTGTGTTGAAAGTGTATCATAAAAATATCAAACTTGAGAAATCTCATTTCGTTACTCATATGCCACATTTTCTAAATGTTATGACTGAAATATACGGAAGAAGTACTTCATCACTTCTTCGCGGAATTTTTCAGACCGAACAGCACTCGGGTGAGAGAATTAACTTGGTCCTTGCAAGAAATACGCATTTGTCACGATAACCGACACGGATTTGTTACTTCGCGCGGTGCTTCAGGTACTTTCTGAGTGTCACGTTTCTTTTCTTTTCGATTCTACTATCTTTATATATAGGTGTGACTATAAGAAGTGAATGGCTGCTGTTGAGAGCGTTTTTGTCAGTGTTATTGATTCAAGGGCATGATTCAAAACAAATCGCATTTCCAATATGCAAAACTTGAGTTGAAAAATCCGCGGATCTATCTCCCATTAAATATAATGTTATCTTTAATTGGAAGGCGAAGTACGGTACTGTATTTGATTAATTCTGACAGACACGGACTATTGAAAAGTGAAGCCTGAAGCTTAATTTGATACCTCACATATTTATTGGCAGTACAGTGGGGTCTCTTTTACACACTTGATTGGTCTCTGATCAAAGTTAGTCAACCGAATCATGTTTTCCCTTGAGGAAGTACAGGAATAATTTCAATAGGTTCAAGAACCTTGTAAGTATTCCCATGAAAATCAAGAAAATTCGTAAGAAAAAGTTCTACTAGAACTAAAATCGGAAAGAAAATATGAAAGTAATGCTAATTTAATTGCCACATAATTCACTTTTGACCTGTCCATCATCTGGAATGTCAAGGTAAATTTCAACTTACTGTGCCTTCAGGAGAATAATTGACCTTATGGTTCTCTGGGTGATGAATCACACAGGAATGGATCAAGTCCATCATTCAAAGTAAAACTATCTTCAGGGGGAAATTAAGCTTGGAATTTGAAAAATGGACATCAGGCAGGGATTGAACTAGTCCATTACTGTATAGATAATGTCAAGCTAAATTTCAACCTAAGGCGCCACATAGCGCCCTCCAGTGAATGATTACTGTATTTACTTGAGTACCACACATGCATTTGTTTTTCAAAATTAAGAAGGGGAATTGGGGTGCATGTAATATACAGGTTAAATTTTTTTAAAGTTGTAGAAACTGAAGGTGTGTATTATATTTGATTATTTTTGGAAATTGTGGACCAAGTTTGACAGAAAACTGTATTCTGATGAAAATAATTAAAAATTACAGTTGAACCTCTCTAAGTTGAATTTCAAGGGACCTGCAAAAAAATTTGACTCATGGAAGCCAGGAATTTTATAGGTTGGAGCTGCAATACAAAGCCCTTTTTTCTGGAAAACTTGGAAAAAATGTAAATGGAGATATTCTAAAGCTTAAATGGCTTCTTAAAGGAGTTGAAAGGCTGCTGAACTTGGAGGCAGGGGTTCATTTGCCCAATTAAGTTTTGCTCCCTTCAAAACACATAAATTTATGTTTTTATTGCTTTTTTCTTTCTTTTTCAAGAAAATAATGGCCAACACGCCACAGAAAAGTTGAATTACCGAGGATTGAAGAGAAAAGCCTTCAACTCAGCTAAAGTTTTTCATATTTTGTTTCCAAGGGGATTCAGAGAGGATCTAAAAAAAATTTGACGTAGGGGGCATTCAACTTAGGGAGATTTGAGTTATTGAGTTCACCTGTAGTTGAATTCAGCCTGGATTCATGATGTAATTCAAATGTGGGTGTTCTTGTTTCTAAAATACAGTTGAAAATTTTGATGTAAAATTTCCAGGGAATTAATTATCTTAAGGAGGTTTTGAGTTGACTTAAGGAAGTTTGGAGTTATGAAGGTTTTAACTTGGTGAAACAAGCATTTTTGTTGAAGTAAAGATTCGAACATTGCCAACAATTGTAATTCTCAATATTCTGGGACTTGAGTTGCTTCTCAAATTTGTGGACAAGATGCTGAACTTGGATGCAAGAGCTCATTTGGCCAATTTATCCTCCACTTCTTCCTTTCAAAGTGCATCAAGTTCAATTTTATCTTTGTGGTGTCAAGATAATAATAGCAAAAAGGCCTCAGACAATTCAACTTCATGAGGTTTTAGAATAAAAACTTTTGAGTTAGCAAGGTTTCTAACGCATGGCTTCTACTACAATTCAGGTGGGGATTTGAAAAAAATTCCACTTTGTGAGGTACAGTATTTGACTTTGGGAGATTTGACTTATCCAGGTTCAACTGATGCATTGTGGTTGACTGTATGAAGCTTGACAAAACTGATTTGTGCATCTCAATCCAGGATACTTAAAGTAGGTGGATAACTTGACTTTTGGGAACCAAGTGTACGATTTAATTGAAGTCATTTATAGGACGTTCAGATGTTGTCAAAGGGTTTACTACCTGAGACTAGTAAGGGCGTCCTTAGGTAGTTGTCCATCATCCGAATAACCACCATCACTGCGTATCCTCGGCAGTGGGACAGAAGTTCACTTGTCAATGCTGGAGTAGAAACTGAGCCTGCGATTCGCCCTGAATTCAGACTACATTTCGGAGATGCTGGAAGAGGAAGTGCGTGTGCCGTTTGCCGGATGCGAAGCAGGAAGGAACTGAGCTGCGCGGAACGTCTCTCCATCGCGCATGACCTGAACCTGAACGGAGCACAAGCCCGGAGAAGGCTGTTGGTTTCCTGCAGGTTATTCCTCTGGGCTGTTTACGCTGCTTTCACTTTTTTGTAATCCTCTGTTGTTCTGCTAGAAAAACAGTAGAATACAAATAAACTTAGAGAAAGCAGGACGACGTATATTTAGAAATTAATAAGAGAAATCGAGACTTCTTTGGTGCCCAGGTGTGAAATGTGCGACGAGGAATGCGTGTGAGGGTGATGAGGATATTTTAAAGCATGATTCGTCGTCGCCATGTAATTATTGAATTTTTTTTGTGTAAGCTGATAAGATAGGTGTAAGGCCCTTATACAGGCGAATCATTGGATTGTTTTCAGTTATATAGAGATGATTTTGCGATGTTACCCTCGTTTTTATGTTTTGCAGTGGGGTCTTGGCTTACTGACTTTTTCCATTCGTGAGCAGAGTTTGTTAACGAAGTACAGTTCTACAGTTTGTTAACCAAATGAAATTTTTCCTTAAGAAAGTTGAAAAAAATTTTTATTGGTTCCTGAACTTCAAAAGTGTACATGAAAATCAATAAAATGTTCAACTAAAGTTTTTACTGGGCCTAAAATCCAAGAATTTTTATTCTTAAAATTAGAAGAGAAGCTGCAAGAAGTGTTGATGAAGACAAGTGGAGTCAACTCTTTCTACACATGAAGATAATTTAGTAAATTTATGAGGGCCTCTTGGTCAATCCATTCAAACAATGCAAACACTTATTGGCATTCTGTAAATTCTTTCTAGCACTATTCCCAATGTTCTGCAGTTGGAAGCTGATTGACAGAACCATCAATGAATGCAATTGCAAAAATGAAACAGAAATGTCAATATAAGAGTAAAATTCATGCAACAATCAATTTTTATAATTTCAACCTCAATCCTTTAGAAGAGCCAGACATATTTTCTGGACATGAATAAATTTTAAAAAATAATCTTAAAATTTTAATAAATAATAATCATAATGTTAATAATAACTATTATAATTTCAAAAATCAAATTTATTTTTTATGGTTCCAATTTCAGACCAAAGAGGGCGAGCATTCAGGGAGGCCAATTTTTGACATCAAAGTTTGTTAACCAAGTTGTGGTTTGTTACCCAAGGCAGCTGAGGCCAAAATGCAAAGCTTATTCTCCGAACAGTTGCCTAATCAGGGCGTTTGTTAACCAAAACACCTGTGTGTTTTCGCAGGACAGCTTCAATATAAAGTATACCGAAGGATCACCAGCAATTCCAATGATTTAAATTTGACCAAGATTATATGCACCAAGGGTGGGATCATGCTTGAATGTAAATCGTGACAGATGAATATTATGAATATGATGATGACAATAGACCAGGCTTTGAAATCACAGAAGGAAATGTAGTTGGTGTCGGGTTTCGCGGGTCCGTGCCCAGATGCGGAAATCCTCTCCAGCAGGGATTCCCAGCATCAATTCGCACCTGCGCCTCCGGATTTTTTCATTCCGGGTGGCATTCCGGGTCGCGTACCCGCATATCCCGGGCCCATGTGTGATTCCGGACCCCAGGCTCCGGTGTGACAACTGCATAAACCTTTCCGGCCCCGGTGGTGCGGAATATGCGGCGGAAATCTATATATTGTACAATATATTGTTAGCGTTCAAATATCGCGATATTTAAATTGGTTAAATACAGTATGTGTTTTTAATGTGTGAAAATTTGTATGATGAGTGATTACTACGAGCATTTGCGCAAAAATTGGAATCCTTGGACAAAAAGCCATGGAAGATCACTATGCAGTGTGGTCCTGGCTAATGAACTTTTCAGCAAACAATCTTTTGTTTTTGGTATCAGCTGCTCTGGCTAACAAACCATCAGGGAAAGGGTTCTTTGCTCTGATTCCTCAAATCCTGGGAAATAAAATTCAACAGCACTGACTGTAAAATCCTGGGAAACAACCACAGCAAGGGAGAGCACTGCTAATATTCTAGGTAGCCTGATTTGGGCATCAGGGTGAACATCTGGATCATCATCATCTTTTCTCATTCAGCTCCAGTCTAAACTTTGTGTACAGGTGTCGCTCTCACTCAAGTAGAATTAAATTTATTGTTCAGGAATCCCTGACATGGCTTTCCAATCATTGATGATGAGAATGGGAATGCTGTACAGTTCATGCTCAATCTAGTGCCACCTGTTGGGGACCCGAGACATATATTAATAAAACAAATATCTAGAGAAAATTGGCACGGAAAATAAGAAATTCATAGAGTGGAAAAAAACCACCCAAGGAGAAAAACCACCAGAGACATCCCCTAACAAACTTTTTACCCCCTCCAAAAAAATTGAAAACTGGTGCCAAGACATCTTTGACTTTACTCTGTCAAGCCAATCAGATGCCTTGGTGCCAACCCCTGTCCTTGATCCACATCCTAGATTGAGGAGAAATCATGAAATCAATAAAAGTCCAAATTTAACCCTTCGTCACCAGTACCAGTTGTTGAAAGTTGTTGCTTGGAGCATCTCCACGCAAAAGAGTTTTGCTGAGAGGTAAAATTAGTCTACAAACTTCTTCTAAATGTCTTGTGTGTTGGGGCTTGTTTGAAATTATCAAAATATATTTGCAACTTTTCTTTTGGAAATTCCCTGCCTTGTCCTGGGCGGATTCTGCATTTTTATTCCTCCCGTAATAAATTAATTCACAGCAAAGTTCAAGAGGTAAAGGAGCAATAATTGCCCTGATACAATGACTCAAAGTTTAGTGGCTCTTAAATTAGCTCCAGGAGATGGGTTTCCACCAATATTGGTGTCATAATTCCTAAGGTTCAGTTATGTCAAGAAATTGTCTCAATGCTGAATTTTGCGATACAGTCAGGCAGGAAATACAGTGGACCCTCCAGTAAATGAACTCAAGTGGTTCCAGACAAAAGTTTGTTCACCAGAAGTTTTTTGACCTCAAAAAACATGTCTTTCTCACAGCTGGATGTCATTTGTTTGATTTATTCTGCCCAAACCATGGAAAACCCCTCTCCATTCACTTCATGTCAAAAAATATTTTAAATATTGTGTAAGATTTTTGTCATCCTGATAATTTTCAAGCTTGAATTTTCCATTGGAACTGAAAATAAGTTTCACTTTACTGATCTGAGTCATGATACAATTTGGAATTTTCAAATTTGGGAATTTCTTTCCTAAGAGAAAATGTTTCCTTTAATAATTTTGGTTTGTTAACTGAGGCATTTTTCTTGAAAGACAAAAGCTTTTTAACCAAGAAGTCTGTTATCAGAGCGGGTTTGAGGGCTCACTGTACAGTCACAAGGAAACAATATTTGGGTTAGTACTTGAGCAGAAATATGCAGTGTTATGTTGGTCCTCCTTCAAACAAAAATCCATGAAACCTCAATCATGAACTCATGACATATGGGCAAATTGGAGCTTTTTCGATGCAAAGTGGTCCATGCTTCCTGAATAGGACAGGCCTGACTTGAGAATAAAGAAATGAGGAAGAAATCGGCATTTTCTTCCAGAACCCATTCAATATATACTGTATGAAAATATTGGTAATCTTACACCTGTTCAAAAATCACGCTGGTGACAATCACAAAGCAATGCTGCATCAGGAAAGACATCAGCAGGTCACAAACAGGTGCCACATGGACCACACCTGCAAGCCTGCTCCAAACCAACTACATGATTCTTCGCCAACCTTTTTGGGCCTGCACACTTGCAAATTTTCCACAAAAAAAATCCGACAGGAAACTATTTATACAATTTTAGCAAAATCTGGTCCAGCATGTGGACAGTGGCTTGAGATAGGGGCACTTCTCTTACATTTGCCAAAAAATGCAAAAATTTCTTTATAGATTTTGATATCTCTTGAAAAGATTGAGCTTGAACTAATTGAGCTTTTTTTCATCATAAATTTTTATTCCAAAAAAATTTTAAAAAACATGTCATTATACATTCACTCTAATTCATAATCAAACAAGCTGATTTTGCGCTTCTTTTTCAGAGATTTTTTTTTCTAAAATCTGCACATTACAGTAAAACCTATTTGTTATTTAGAAATAAACACAATTTCAGTTTGTCTGGCATGGGATTTTCAGAGGCTTTACTAATTCTGTGCTTCTCTCATTTAATGCCCCAAGTGGGACAAGTTTGTTTTGTGCTACTGGTGGCTTTCATTTCTGCGCACCAATTTTATCTGTACTGATGCTTGAAGAACCTTTTATTACCGATGTGCTTCAGTAAAAAACTAATTTTACAAAAACGCGAATATTCTTTGGAATAAGATCTGGAGGATCTCATATTCAAAATTTTAGAAAACTTCACGACCTTTAGTTAAGAAATGTTAGAATTATGTATTTTCATTTTGGAAGACGTTCTAAGCTTCAGAATGTCGCGTCATACTGTACTTGTACTGTACGACATTCATTGATTTTCATCCTGGATTTTTTCCTGAACTTGTTTTCAAGTCAACACCTTGCGTATGTATGATGCTTGTTTTGTTCTGTACATAAGGTGTGAGAAAAAATTGGAGGAAACATCAGTCTCATTTGGTGCTTCACCAGAAAAACGTTGTCCTCATTATTTCTTATGTTTGCCCATATACAGTACACTTGAATTTTTTGGTGCTGACAAGCTGCCTTATTGCTTGAGCACTTTGAGTCCCTTCAATCTCAGAGTTGAAAATATCCCTTGTCAAAGTAAAGATTGTGGATTACACTTGTTCTTACTCTTGCGTTTTTTTTAGCTCCTTTTGATCCCAAATGATTTTATTTGTTGGGTTTTTATTCTGCACTGTTGTCATCTATAACTTGCAGAGTTGCAGTTGAGGGAAACAATTATGACATTTTTCGAGAACTATTCCTAATGTTCAATGAACATCAGGAGAACCAATTACATACACTTTCACTGAGGTCTACAGGACAATGAGATCCAACATGCAGATGATTCAACATAAGGACAAGGTCCAAACACCAATTACATCCAAATCTCAGGATGCCACAGTTTTCAAAAAATGAGAAAGGTGGGCATGAAAAAGAAGTCTCTCAGAATTAACCCTCTGACAGCAATGTTTCCCATTGCAGGAGGGAGTCCAATTATTTTTGCATCCTCCAGCTTGAAGGTAAGGAAAAGCCTTCCAAGTGGGCTGAGACAAAGTTTGGAATGCCAGAAAAGCCTGTCGCCTAACTGAGATTTTTTTTCCACACAAAATGTATCTGTGCCAAGGGGAAAGAAATTGGGATTTTTCCACACTTTTCCCTCAACCCCCTGTTGTCATGTTTTTCTTCTCCTCTCTGAGGTGCAACTAAATTTTGAAAAACTAGTAAAACTCTACCGTCAAAGGGTTTACAATTTACAGTCCAGCAGGTGAAAATTTGCCAAAGTGTTATGAGGAAAAAAGCCAACTCAAATTTTTTTGTCAGATAATATCAACTGCAATTGTCTTTCCAAAATTTCACACAAAAATAATAGGCTGAATAGCTTTTGACGCATTTGTTATGCTGCAGAAAATTTCCTGCAGACCTGCACCAGTCCACAAACCATGTGTAGGGGAACACTGTAGATTATGGGTAACTTTTTACCTGTTGGTACCCGTGTAGTTCTTAGTTGTGAGGTGTCTCTCGCAGTGAGGTGCATAAGGACGAAGTGGTCGAGACTGAACTACTATTTGTCTAAGACTACCCAAACAAGAATGAGATGCAGTGGGTAGGCGATGATGAGACCCCATCAGGGTTTCCATGATGGGTGACAGGTGAGTTGGGCCACTGCGACCGTTGCTGTTGCTGTTGGAGCCCTGCTGGTTGTCGTCGTTGGCAAATGACGACAGGGAAGAGTTTTGCGAGGTGACCAGGCACAATGGCGACGGCAGTTGTGGGGACGTGAACTGCGGCTGTCCGCCCGCCCTCCGCCGGTCCCTGCGGTCACTACGGCGGTTGCACGAGACGACACTGGGGTTGACACCGTGGCAGACGAGCACCAAGAGACGACGACCGTCTCCCAATTACGCGAAGAGGAAAACGGCGGACAAGCAGAGAGAAAGAAGAAGACCCACATGAAAAAATCCCATCGTTGAACTCGAAAAACTTTTAACGTAATTACAAAGAGAGAAAAATGGTATGTAGTGATATTCCTAAAATGCGGACACCCCAATGTGCGGAAATTCAACTTTGGAACACTCGAAACTTTTCAAAATTTGACACCGAGACCCAGACATTATCTCTGAAAAGGAACAGTTTTCCAACAGCTCTGGAAACATTTTAAATGCATCTTTTTTGAACTTTGAATATCTCTCGAACAACTTGAGCTGTATACAATATATATTCACAGGAGTTGAAAATTAATGTCCTTATATATTTACTCACATTTATAATCGAATCAACAGATTGATTTTGTGCTCATTCTTTTAGCGACTCTTTCAGTGTACAATTCTTATAGTGTACAAGGATTGCAAGACTTATATTCTTTGTGTGTATTTTTGATTCATTTTGATGCCAGAATAGCATATTCTGTGTCATTTTCTTAATTCTGGATACTGTAGTTAGATTATGTTTCTTTCAGTTGAAAATCACATTTTATTTGATTTTGGATATTAATTCCTAATTTTTGATGAACAGGTGAAAAATTAAATTAGATTTAATTGAAGTTCAATTGAACATTGTGTATTAAAAAATGCAAGACCATCATGAATTATGATCAGAATAAGTTTCTGCTGTATATTATACGTGTCCAGAATGATGTTTTTAGAGTGTTATCTGGAAGTAGCACTAATGAAAACCAAGATTTTTAAAAGCTTCACATTCAGAGAAACACATACTGATGGTAAAATGTCAAGAGAAAAATTGAATCAAATTTCTGTAATGCTGCAAGGGAAGAAAAAGAGACCTTTTGAACAACTGAACAGTTAGAAAACTCAATCACCAAAAAGCAACTAATCCTGTCACATGAAAGCATACTTTTATCTGCATGCTGTAGCTGAAAACATTTTAGTACACAAGATTACAGATATTCAAGAACCAGAAGGGAAGAATTTCCACATCAGTGCATATGGGTGAATTATTTGCACTTGAATTGTCCCATTCATTTATGCCTTAACCCATTACCTGCTGTGAGCCTCATTTGAGACTCACGCGGTTTTTGACCCCCCCAAACAAATACCATCGAAACAAAAATTATGAAAAAATATGTGGAGGCTGCGCAATGAAGTTATCTACAATTCAAGACCTCATTTTCCTCTTTTCATTCATTTTTCAATTTACAGCAATATGTTTTCTGAAGCCAATTTTCAAATTCCATTGGAAAGTTAAAACATGACTTTTGGAATGCAAGATAAGTACTTTTTAGTGCAGATAAATTCAAAATTTTTTATGTCCCTCTAGCCTGGTTATTTGTCAAAGCTTTGGCATATTTTATTTAATTTTCTGACATCTTTATCAATCACAACAAGTTCAAGAACCTTGATCACCAAATGGGGCTCATGGCAGTCAGGGTGTAAAAAAATAATTTTGGAATTTTCTTGAAAATGTGTCCAAAAAGCTCCATATTTTAAATAAACCTAACTGCTGGGTTGACAACACAAAAGTGATGATAAAAACATGTTAAACAAAATTTGTTTGATTTTAAATTAATTTTTTCAATTTTTTTGTATTTGTAGTAAATATAATTTTTGTGATAAAATTTTTTGAAGACACCCCTAATCTTTTGAACTTCATCTAACAGTTAAAAAACGCTAGTAAATTACTTGGTGTATAGCCTGGATGCTGTTCAATGAATTTTATAGCTTTTACAAAAAAATAAATTTAGAAATATTTGTAAAATCATAAAAAAACATTTATGAATTTCATTCCTAATGGCATTCTAGCATCTCAAATGGATCAGAAGATGTGTTTTCCCTCTCCTTTAGCATAACATAATACAATTTAGCAAAAAAAAAAATTTCCAATTTTTAAAAGATTTTTATTATTGTTAAAAAAGGAGATGGGACCTGCTGTGAGCCCCATTTGGGGATCAAACTTAAAATTTGAATATTTGACAAAATTTTGAATTTAAAAATTATAAAAAAATGTCCCCAGCCTATCTAAATGTAAATGAAGTGAAATGGCACAAAAATGGGCATTCAGGAAATTTGGCAGTTAATGGGTAAATGTCAAATTATGAGGCATCAAATATATAGGATATTTCTCCCTGGAAACAACTTTGTTGACCTAATTTTGGTTTGTTACTGAGGGATTTTTCCACAAAACCAAAAAGTTTGTTAGCCTAGCAGTTTGTTAACCAAGCGTCCACTGCATTCCAAAAATTAAGGTAATGTAATTTTTAAATAATTGATGGGATGAGAGAAGGATCTGGAAGTTCAGTGAGATCCCAGATGCAGTCATAATAGGGGCATCAAGAGTGTCCCTTAGTGGAACTGAACCTAAGTCAGTCTCATCATATACTTACAATTTATAGTTTTTAATTGGTGTTTTATCTTTGAGGAAGAAATATTCATCAGCATTTCATGAAGAAAAATGTTTGGGTGAACTTAATCTAGGCCCCTTATATAAAACTTGAGTTGTTCTTGTAAATCTCGTAACTTATCATATGTCGACATGTCGTCAAGTAACTTTACAACCGTAGACATTTTTCGTGTAGGTTCAGTTTTAGAGAGAAGAAGTCCCTCTATACATTAGGTATTTTTTAAATTAGCTGAATGGTTGGGAATATGATTGAAGAAATGACGAAGAATTTTTCTTGAATATAAATTTTAGGATTGGAAATACTGTATCTGTTTCTTGCAATCAAGCCAAATAAAAGTCATTTTTCTGAAATGTACTGTGATTTTTATCTTGCAATGTCCTCATGTCATGTCAGTGTCCGTATGTTGTGCCTTTTTTTTTATTGAAAACTAACTGTCCCTATGTTGAGGTGTCCGCATGTGGGGGGTTCTCATATTATATTGCACTGTAACCCCAGAAAACTGCTCCTGATGATGGCTCATTCATCACCCACCTATTGCAGAACCACACCCTGACCACTTCCTTCCCCATCGCCATCCTCTCTGCCAACACTGAGATCTCTTTCGAAGTGGGTTTCGCGTTCTTCAAGAACGCCTTCTCCAGCGCCACTCTGGCCGTCGTTTCGATGGACGTCCGCTTCTTCCGTCGCCGCCCAGCAATCATGGCCTCGGGCGTCGTTTGCGGGTTGTTCACCAGACACGACGGATTGGTGATGTCTGAATCGTCGGCGTGAGCGTCGGTGAACAGGTTGGTGCCGAAGTCGAACGTGTACAAAAACTTCCTGTCTAAGTCCCGAAGCTTCGCACTATACCAGCAGACCCTTTTCAGCAAGGGCATGTTGAAGGGGTACCGATTAGGAACGTCTCCCTGAGTGAACCCTGTGTAAGTGGAGGGAAAGAATAATACAGTAAAGCCATCAAACCCGGGTCAATACAAAGTCATGAGAGCACCTTTAAGAATTTCACTTCATCCCGGATTCATGTACATTTTTCCATGAATGTCATACGAATTCAGAAAGGATGGGAGGAAAGCAAGAGGAACAATAAACGAGTAAAATTGGACAACCGGACATATGTTGACGGTTTGACATTTAGCCCTTCTGCGGCAAAGTTGGACTTTTTTTTCGAAGATTTTGATTGCACTCAAGAGTGAAATTTCAGAAATAACCCAAGAGTGTGTGCAAGCGAGAGTCAGGAAAAATCCTGGCATTTTTAAAATTTCCCATAGAAAAATTCCACTTGAAAATGAAAAAATGAAGACTTCAAGGCTTCCTTTTTTCACCTGGCCTTGTGTTGTTTCCCCATTCAAAGAATAAACTTAAGCTTGAATAAGCCAGGAGCCCAGGTTAGAGGTAAATACAGAAAAGGTCCAACTCAGGACTTTCTCAGCATTTCTTTATCCCTGGATAAAATCTGACTTCACCCTTCCCCACCTGGCCGGTGTTGCATAACCTTGTGCTGCAAAAAAGTTGTGCAGGCCCATCAGGATATAATCTGGCTTTGCACTGGGATGGAAAGGAGGCTGCCGCTGTCCAAAGGTTAGGGACACTTGGACCTGAAAAAATCTGCACTCAACATCTATGGACACTTTCCCAAGATTTATGAGAAAATGTTAAAATATTATTTTTTCTATCATTTGGTATTTTGTGAAGAAATTGAGCTACTATATTTATATTCATAAACGTTTAAAAATAAATTTAACCATGATTTAAACCCTAATTCATGATGAAGAAGACAGGCTAGTTTTGGGGCTTTTTTCGACTTCTTTCATATTGTGTGTGTTCAGCATAGCAATAAGATTAGTTGTTGTTCTTTGCTTTTTAAGCTCCTTTTGATGTCAAAAAACCCATGTGTGGTTTTCTTCTGTACATTCATTTTTAGTATCCTGTGGTTGAGAAAATTTTTTATTCAATTTTTAGTGGGTATTTTTCTTGATTATTCTGTTAGAAGGGTTCCATTGAAGTCAATGGGAAAATGAGGTCCAACATGGTTCAGAAAAAAAGCAGGACACTCGCATTTCCTAAAAAAGAATTGTCGGAGAGAAACTTTATAAAATTTAGGTCAGTGTGAAAGTCTCTTGAATCAATTCTTCACAGGAAAAAGAGCAGGCTCTTGAAAAATCTTTCAACTAACCTTGCACTACAACCGCAGGGGTACCGGGTCATCCGCCAGTCGGTCAATTGACGGTCGCGCATCTGCCGGTCGTCAAGCGCCGGTCGGTCCAACCGCCAGCCAGGGCAGTTCTTGGCCTCGCCAATCCCCAGTCCACCAAACCGCGGTTTGGTCACCCAATTGTTGGGGCACTGGAACAATTTGGTGAGAAGAATCATGCTGATTCTTTCTAGAATTTGGTAAATGGTATCCTACCATAGATTATTTTTTTTTACAAAATTTCATCTTATACAAATTTTTACAAAAAGAAAAAAACTGATCAAACCCAACCTAACTTAACCTAACATATCCTAACCTAACCTAACATATCCTAACATAACCTAACCTAACCTAACCTAAACTAACCTAACCTAACATTGCTGAAATTTTGAAGAAAAAAATCTGTGGTAGGATACCATTCGTCTGCTCACTGAATTCTGAAAAAAAAATCAGCATGATTCTTGTCACCCGATTGTTTGGGTGCCCCGACAATTGGGTGACCAAACCGCAGTTTGGTGGGCTGGGGATTGGGGAGGCCAAGAACTGCCCTGGCTGGCGGTTGGACCGACCGGCGCTTGACGACCGGCAGATGCGCGACCGTCAATTGACCGACCGGCGGCTGACCGGACACGAACCGCAGGTAGTAGTGCACCCCCTTCCCCCCCTCCCCCAAAAAAACAACTGCCAATTTGCACAGCAACCATCAGCACCAGCCAGCGCAACCCCAGAAGCTTTCAACAACTTGAAAAACCCATTCAGAAAACCTAAGCTTCACCCCTTTTTCAGCAGACTAAATGCATTGGACACTTTTCAGAGTAAAATCCAGGTTAGAAATTGCTATGGAGAATTTCTGGTCGTTTTTGAACTTGCTGGAAACCCCCTTATTAGATGCAATGTTGAAAATCGATTAATCAACCTTTTCTCTGTCAAAATCAAATACTGTAAACAACTTTGGTTTTTGATGAATTTTTCAGCTGAATTCAATGATTGAAACTGCACTGCACATTTTCTGGAGGGAAATCCAGATCACAGATTATTTTCCAGCATATTTCTGATGCAAAAAAGTGTAATTCAAGAGTGGGTTGAATATATTGGGAGTATGGGGCCCTATTAGGGAGTATATAGTGTTGCCCCAGGAATGGATTTGTGGTCGTTGTGCGAGGTATTTACCTAGCTTTATCCTGTGTTGCTTGAACATCTTGGCAAACTGTTCCAACTCGTCTAAATTTGGAGTTTCTTCTGGCGGGGGATCGAAGATCCTCTTGGGTGATTGAGGAGTTCCTGCAGTTTGCATGATGGGTGGGGAATGGAGATGAGTCATGGCCGCCTCGGTGAAGTTTTGGTGCTTGCCCCCAGGCAAAGTCGGGGAAGGAGTGTTGCCACTCCAGGAATGTTGGTTCTGTTGGTGTTGATGATGTTGCTGCAAGTGGATTTGCTCTTGTTGGAGCTGCTCTTGCTGGTTTTGCAATTGCTGCAACTGTTGACTGGCCTGTGCCACTGCTTGTTGTACCTGTATACACACCCAGGAAATAATACTTAAAAAATCCGACTCTTCAGTAACAAAGCTGTTGGACAAAAATAACCAGTCAGCGGAATCTTAATTAGTGTAAAAGGAAACAAAATTGGCAACAGGGAATCGGTGGTTCACAAACTTCTGCCTTTGAAGAAAAACCTCCCAACAAATAAATATAAGTTCCATTAACAAACTTTTGCTTCTAGGAAAAAATGCCATTATGAAACATTCCAAATGTGATTATGACCCTGCTCTCTAAATTACTGTACCATTTAATGGCAGTTCCATCGGACAAAGTGAAGATGAAAAATTATTGGGCAGACCAAGGTTTTACACCACCTTTTCCAACCAGGAGTGATTATATGAAGGTTTTGTGAGGTTTGAGCAGAATCATTTGAACAAATGATGCCCAGCTGTAATAATCTGTGAAAAAGGCACTTTCAAAGTGTTTTTCACTAATCAACTGCTGAATTTTCTCGTTTCTTACAGCACTGTGAAATCAAAATTTTTCTGTAATGCTCATATGTGAACTTTTTTCTGGATGCAAAACATTTTGAGTGCTGTTTTCATTCATCATAGTCCCATATTTAATCCTACAAAACATTGTGAACTGCCAGAGGATGCAACAGTGAATATTTCTGATTTTACATTTAACATGAGTTTCTTATTCTTTTAAAACATTTTCATTTGTATTTTGGATTGTTGAGTATCAATTGATTCTTGACTGAAGTCTATGGGAAATTCGAATTGGATACACAAACTTTTGTCTGAAGCCAGTTAAGTTTGTTCACCAAGAGCATATTGAACACAGTGCAGCACTGCAAACAAGCCATTTCATGAAGCAATACCAATTTGAGGAAGGGCTTCAAATACAGTGAGACACACACACTTGGACACCTTGACATACAAATAATTCAACATAGGGGCATTTGTTGTCCAATAAAATGAGCATAACAAAGGCACAAAATGAAGACACTGACTCAACATACAGACATTGCATGATTAAATGTGCAATACAGTTTAGGACAAGTGAATTTTATAAGACTGCAGGCATTTCCATCCCTAAAATCTATACAAGAAAAATTATTTGCATTTCTCTCATCATTTTCCCACCCATTTAGCTAATTTAAATTGAAGAAAATTACCTTCAGGATAGAGGGTCTTTCTTCTCATTTTAACATAAATGCAACTTTTACAGATGCTCCAAATGTTCTCATCCAGTTGAAAGAAATTGACTAATGAATTGCAATATTGGGAGAAATTATTTTTCATGGTATTATGATGAGCAATCCTTCCATGAAACACCAATTAAAAATGATACATTGTAAAGTCAATGGGAAAACAAGACTTGACTCAGATACATTTTGACTTCGGGACACTCTTGAATATGCACCAATTACGTCATTATCTTGATGTCACACTGTAAATTAGCAAGCTTCCAACTCACATAAATGTAACATTTTTGTGGAGAAATCGTTTTCTACGCCAAACAGGCCACACCCTAACTTGGAGCAGCAATTTGAAAAAGTCCTACTTCATACAGCATATCTCAAAAAAAAGAAAAATTTTGATCACATGAGAAGTGGTTTCCTCGGTGCTCATAATTAAACATCTTAGGACCATAACAGATATTTGGGGAAATTGGCAGCATACATTTTGAATGATTCCAGCGTAAAAGTCAACTCGAATTTTGCCCTCCGGTTTTGTTACAGACCTGGTTCTGTAGGAAAAACTGAGCTTGTGCACCGGGTTGGAAAAACATGAACTGCTGCAATTGCTGTTGCAGCATTTGCTTGTGCTGTTGTATGGTTCCCTGGAGCATCTGCAGCACGGCAAGCAGAAAAAAACAATGAATGCAAAAATGCTTCAATTAACAAACTGAAATTTTGTTGACAAACATTTCCCACAGGAAAAAAAAATCCATTGTAGTCATAATAATGACCACAACACCCTTCAATTTCCGCACAACCCTTTTAAGCTAATGTATTTCCGCTACGCTTGGCTGCGCCTGGTGCACTATCAATTTTATTTCACAATCCTGTTGTTGACAGAATACTTTCCCAACCATGCTCACACTTCCTTCCTTTAAATAAACAAAGCGTGATGTCCCTGATCCAAATTGGTTTCTATGCGCGTTCCTTGACCTTGGCTGACCAAAGCTATATATACAGGTGCATTTTATGTTGCGTTAAGTTTACCGCACCAGACTCTGACCAAACGCCAAATCCACGCCGCTTTGCTCGTAGCATTGTATTGTATTGACTGTGTGTGAAAATATAATAAAGAATAATTTTAAATACTCTCACGGAGTAACTTTTGTGTTTCCTTCAAAAGTCGCGGAAAACAATTTAAATCTCCAATCCCCTTTTCCACTACTTATAGAAATTAAGTTATCAATGACTGATCATCTTTGACCACTAACTTTTAAATTATAGTTTTTGGATAACACCATATTCAAAACTTCCTACTTTGGTCATGACCCTGAACTGCTGTAAAGTATCTTTTAGTAGATGTTCCAATGGACAAGACAAAAGTAAAATAAAAATCGTCAGGAAAACCAAAAATGTACAAAATATTTTTAAAAATATTTTAATCATATGCTCTCCGGAGGGAAGCATATCATACATTTTCCTCTCTCTCTCTCTCTCTCTCTCTTTTTCGCCGTGCACTGACCTGTATTTCAGGGGAACCGGGTTGCGGCAATGATGGGGACAAGGGGTCTCCGGGGTTGCCGGCCCAACTCCGCGGGTTAGGGGTTTGGGTTCTTGGTGGAGACACTGACACGGATCGGCCTCCGGAACTGAGCTTTTGCTCTTGCTCATGTTGCAAGTGATGAGCAGCAGAAACCAAGGAGTTTTTTTGCGTGAGGAATTGTCTTGATGTAGCTCCTTGCTGTGCCATCAAGCTAATCAACTGCTGAGGCAAAAAAGGCGAATGTGTTATTTTCAACTTTTACAAAACACTAATTCCTCGCCTCTTTCAGAAAGGAATACATTTAAAATAAAGGGCAGATGGGCATTGAAGCTGTGTTGCCATTGCAGTACAGGTGGTACCCCACAACTTGAATCTAATTCATGGCTGGGATGGGGTCGAATTGCAAAAAAACACTGTGTAAAAATATCAAACAGCAGCAAAAACCACTGGAAAATTGGCTGAAGGAGGTCAAATTACAATAAGGCAAGAGTCAAATTTTGAGTCAACCTTTGAGCAAATTTCAACTGTCAAATTGCAAGGTATTATACCTGTACCCATATTCAATTGAGTACCATGTACTCTCAAGTAAGCAGCCCTGCACCCAATTTTTCCTTCAAGAAATTTGTCCAAAAGCTATCCACTTGTAAAACCCAGTTTTTTTTTGTCATGGTTGAAAACCAAAATTTGTGAAATTATTTTTTGAGGATCCATTTTCCCCTGTTGATATTTTGTTTTCCCTGCTTGTTACTGTCTCTGCTGCTGCTTCCTCATTTGTACAAATGCCTTTTCCCAGAGAAACTCTGGAGGAGGGAGAGTCAAAAATCTTTGAAGAAAGCAAAACACACCACATCTGCCATCTCAGATATTCCTCGAATTCCATGCAAATGCGCGAATTTTATCAAAAATGATTTGTGAATTAAAATCAGTAAATCATGGAAAGTTTTCGCTTATAATCATGCAATATGTCTTAAATTAAAAAAAAAATACGAAAAAATCCCAGAACCTCAAAATTGCACTGGCTGAATCATATAATTTTTTGTACAGTTGCACCTACTCTAGAAATACCCAAGGTCAAGCGGAAGTGGGACAACCCTTGTACTCATGTACCAATAAGGAAGCCTTTCCAAATCAGTGTGCTTGAGTGAATTATTTGCACTTGTATTGTACCATGAAATTCAGCCATAAAAACATATTTTTAATATTCAAATTCAAACTCGTTCCCCAAAAAACAAATTAACGTTAAACAAATTTTTTGTTTGTTGAGTGAGGAATTATTTCTCAAAACCAAAAGTTTGTCAACCGAGGGTCTTGTCTACACGACAAACGCCACTGACCCGGTTGATGGAAAGAGGACCAGCTTGGAGAGCCGCCATTGCAGCTTGAACGGTGGCCGCCGCCGCGGCGGCGGACGTGGAGTCCAGCGACGTGCCGGACGTCGGTGATGGCCTGTGTCCCAGCCCCACTGGGACCCGGGACAGCAGGGCACGGGATGGTGGCTGCCGCTGGCCCAGTGGGGAACCCGGCGGCGAGGGTCTGCCATGGAACACGTGTTGGCATTGGCCGCCACCAACGCCGCCACGTGACGCTGGTGAAACCGTGTGCAAATACGAGTCTGTATCTGCGCGCAGGCCTCTCAAATCTCCGCTGCCCTTAATGGATGCTAATTCTGTTATCTGGGTGGACAAAAAGGAGAGCATAAATGGAAAATGGCCGCCGCAAAATGTCCGAGTCTTCATCATCTTGATCCAGGATAGATCCACTTTCAATTGAGTACTGTAAATATAGTACAGTATAAAATAATATGCGACCTTATATGCGCCTGTAAACTTCCTTTTTGAAATTGTACCACTTTCACAGCAACTCAGTATGTGCTAATTTCATGCTACCAAAGAGAAATGTACATTGAGACTGCCCACATGTGAACACCTTGACATGCAGACAATTCAACATAAGGACATTTATTTTTCAATAAAAAAGGCATATAAAAGGCCTGATTTATGGACACTGATTCCACATGAGGACATTGCATGATGAAGTTGCCAATAAATTTCAGGAAAATTGACTTTTATTAGGATTGATTGCAAGAAACATATATTTCCAATAATCCCAAGATCTATGGAAGAAAAAAGCTTTGGTATTCATCCCATCATTTTCCCATCCATTCAGCGCATTAAAAAAATTCCTAGACTGCATACACTCATAGAGCATATAGAGGGACTTCCTCCTTTTGTTTTGACTTGAATGTTTTTTTTTCTACCACTGCCAACATTTCAATGTACTGATGCACATATACACACTATTTATTGATGCTCCAAATGCACTTATTGAGTTTAAAAGATACTCATTGAATGAAATTTGGGTGGCAAACAATTTGTTTTTTTTTGTGGAACTCTGAGGAATATTTTTCCCATAAAACAGCAATTGAAAATTATATGATATAAGTCTACGGGAAAAGAAAATGTTCAACAACTTCTCAACTGTTCTCGTCTACTTTTCTCCGAAAAAAAAAATAAAAACTCCAGGAGAGAAACAACTTCACTCACGGCCAAGTTCTTCGCGGCGCCTCTGCCGGTGTGCAGGCGAGGCTTCTTGTTGTTCCGTCCCAGCACCGACCGACACTGGGGAACCGACTTGTCGGTGTCGCTGTCGTCATCATCCGAGTCATCCCGACTCTGGTCCGTGTGGCCACAGTCGCTGCTTGTGACACCGTCATCTTCGCTGCTGGCGCAAGAGTACGACAGACTCTTGAAGTGATGATGATGATGATGACTCACTCGCTCTCCAGCCGGGTTCATCAGCGCCCCCTCGTGAGCCAAGTCCGCGTCACTACCACCACCACCAACACCACCCTCCAGTCCGCTATTATTAATCAGCAATGCAACGTCATCAGTACACTTCACGCCGAGCCTCATGGCCAAGTATTCGCTCATCATCAGGTCCGGGGTCATTGGTGTAATTTCTTTGCCCATGCGGGGTTTCTTATTATTGATCCGCGAACGCGAATCGTCACACGTCAGAAACCGAGACATATCCCACCACCAGGCAAGTGTCTCTCATTGACATCACTGACGAGGGTCACAAGGATAAATCATCGACATCAGTTGCATCCGTACCTGGTCACGAAACCCGTCAACGGTGACCACTTCTGAAACCAATGTCCACATTTGTTGGACGAGTCCTGCCATCCGAAAAAAGACAGTATTTAATTCAGCATTGAAAAAAAAAATTGGGGCAAACAAACAAAAATACACTAGAGTTTGGGATTTCAACCATATTTTTTTCTGCAGTGTACCACACTGAGAACCCAGCAGTGTTTGCATATACAGTGAGACCCCCAGATGCGGATGTCATTGGTGCATCAAGAGTGTCCCTAAGTTGAAACGTCCCCAAGTCAAGTCTAATTTTCCCTTAGACTTACATTATATAATTTTAATTAGTGTTTTATGTACAAAATACTCACCGTAATTCCAAAAAAATAAAAATTGTCTCCCAATTTAAACTGTTTCCAATCAATATATTTCAACAAAGTATGGGCATTTGAGGAATTTAACACAGATACCTCTGTACAGTACATAGAAATGTTGGCATTCTCTGTAAAAAAATAATAGTCAATTGAAAAAGAGAGAAGGAAGCCCATCTCTGCTGGAGGTACTTAATTAGCTAAATGTATGTTAATTTGGTGAGAGAAATGCCCAAGAACTTTTCTTATATCAATTTTAGGTTTGGAAATATCTGTTTCTTGTAAGTTGGCCTGAATGTATTTGCAATTTTATAACAAACTGTCCCTATGTCCAGTCAGTGTCCTCACATTGGGCTTTTTTTATTAATTTTTAATGATAAAATAAATGTCCCCATGTCAAATTATCTGCAGGTTGAGGTGTCCACATGTGGGGGTCTCACTGTATAAATTGGTTATCAAACTTGATTGGTTCCAGACAAAAGTTTGCCAACCAAATTTGATTTTCAATAGACAATGTTGGAAAAAAATTTAATGCATTCTGTGAACCCAAAATATCATTCAACATTAGAAATGAAAAATTCAAGAGCCATCAACTATGATCAGAAAAAGTTGTTGCACATCATATATATGAGCACAGAAGGTTTTCATGGTGTTCTTTGGAAGTAGGACTGATGAAAACAAACGTAAAAGAGCTTCCACATCCAGAGAAAAACACTCCATAGGTTACATGTAAGGTTATGAAAATGAAATATTTTTTCTTATTGCTGCAAATAACAAGAGAAAATAGACATGGCTAACAATCAAAAAAATTGAAAAACCAAGCACAGAAAAATAACTAATTAAGTCACAGGAAAACACATATGAATAATGTAGCTGAAACGAATTTTAAATCACAATAAGATAATGCATATCAAAGGGCCAGAAGAGAAGAATATTAGTATCAGTTCATTGGTGAATTTCTTGTACTTGGATTCTACCATAAATTTCAGCCTCAAAATTATATTTTGAATTTTCTATAGAATTGAACAGCAAGCTTGACTTTCCGCTTTTCAGCATCCACAAGATTGAAGCTAGGTTCCTGCATCCGAACCCTCTCCCTTTTCCACCCACATTCATTCAAACGCATCAGAATAAATCATGGAGAAATAAGCTGTAAATTGTTATTGAAATAAAAGAAAATACATCCCAAAATGTACTATTGCTCATATGATGTAAATACATACACTTTGTTCCTTTTCCTGATAACAAAAAATAATGTATTTTCTAATTTGGGATTTTTCCTCAGAAAAAAGTTTGCTGACCAAATTTTTGTTTATTAGCCAAGGGAATTTTTCTCAAAACCAAAAGTGTCTCAAGCAAAAAGTAGGTCCACTTTATACAACATCCTGGGAACTGGGACAGCTACTTCACTCCTTCAGCTTGAACTTGGATGAAAAAGCAACAATGCAGTTCATGCTGGATATGACCTATGATGCTTTCACATTGAGCAGCCTGCAGAAGGTACAGTATTTCACATTTTCATCAAATTACGTCTGGAATTTGGAAACATTTTCTTTTGAAATTCCTGTGAAAGTACATATATGACTTGGACAAGAAAATGAATGCTGAACGAAACATTTTAATTATCCAACCCAAAAGAGACTTTTGTTTCGCCACATAAAATTCGGACCCTCAGAAATCAAAACTCATTGCTTCTGCTTGGGCGGCTGACGCTGAAATTATAGTCACGCAATGCCAGCCTGCACGTGCGCAGGAATTGAAAAGAACAAGCTCTTCCCTTTGTTGAATCGAAAGGAACTTTTAGAAAGAACACAAAAAAACTGGATCAATGGAGGCCGAGTCACTGAATAGGAAAAGGGGGCAAGCACGCACCGACCCGGGCGGTGCGTGCGCCACGGAAGTTGCCACAGGAATGAGGATCACGCGCAGTCCGATTATCCCCAATCCCGTCCCCGGGGGTCGAGCGAGGAACCCGTGGAACAACCCCTGGCGGGAACCATCTGCGAAATGTGAACAATTTTGCTCAAGGTCCGGATACACGCTAGGATTGTCCCACTTCATGTAAATTGATGCAACTTCCCTGTTTGTTTTTTTAAATCTTTAATCTACTGCCTCCAGGTCAGAAAGTTTTCAGTACCGAAGCGTCTGTCCAAGTCCAGTTAGTTCTTGTCCCCTTAAGCAATAGTCTCTCACAATATGAAGGTGCAGTAATAAAAAAAATAGCAAAGACAACAACTTAACCTTGGATGATGTTTTCAAAGAGGGAATATAAAAAAAAAACTAGAAATAAACCCAGCAGTAGCTCTTGAAAAAATGCAAGATACACTTGGGTTTTCCTTTGTTGCAAACAAAATTACAGTAAAATCTTGTTACAACAAACTCCCAGGGACCTGAGAAAAAATTCGTTATGACAAAAAATTTGTTATACTGCTGTGATTAATGATTTTTAGCACATTTAAGACTGGAATTTGATTGAGAATTGGGAATAAATACTGTACTTTAAAATGCTTCTGTAACAAATAATGCAAGACCCAGCACAATTAATTTGTACTTCTGATGAAATGAATAGAAATCCTTTGATGCAAATGGAGCTCTCCTTTAGATGAGCTAAAATTTGAAGTGTTACTTTTCTTGAAAAATAAAATAAAATGAAACAATATTACATATGGTAAAAGTACTGCACCTCCTTCTCAGCCAACTTATTCACTGATAGCTCTTTCCAGCATTGAGGAACATTCTTCTAACATACTGTTCATATGAAAAAGGCATACATTATAAAATGGATGAGCTAGAGACGTTCCAAAAATATGTCCTGTTGTGCATTTTTTTGGACACCAAGTTTGCTACTCATAAAGATTTCTTTTTTTGTGAATTTTTAATGCAACATCTTCTAGATTTGTCTACATTTTCTGCCATTTATTCAGGAATCCCTATATGGGCAATGCACAGAATCATGTTCCAAATTTGTTATAATGAGATTACAGCATAAAATTACTTTGTTGTAATGAGATTTTTATAACATTGTGCCTATGGGAAACTGCCAGGACCACAAAAAATTTGTTATAATGAAAAATTCATTATAACGAGATTTGTTGTAATGGAATTCTACTGTATTTTTGTAAATTTCATAAGGTGTAGGCAAGTCTGTATACTGAAAATACCATTTTCTCAAGTTTTTGAATGGTCTGGAAAAGTTTCAACAGGTTATTGTGACATGAATGGAGAATTCTGACCAAAACTGGAAAGTTTTCAATCATCCTCATGCAGTAAGTCTGCATTTTTCATGAAAATCAAAAAAAAAATCCCAAAATTTTACAATTGCATGGGCTACATCATGTAATTTTCTTTAAAGTGGTACCTAATCTTTTCTCTAGAAATACCCAAGAAAGCCAAGCAGAAATGGGAAAACCCATCTACGCTACCCACAATTATTCAAACGCTTAGGGTATGAATAATTTTCAACATATCGAGGTTGTCCTTATGCTTTAAAGATTTAAAAAGAGAAACTTTCCAAATGGGGGAAAGAACTTGTTTCCCCACAATTCCAGGTCATTCACAATTGGTAACCAGGATATCTTGATATCTGAATCAGCTGAGTTTCATCTGAATAAGCCCAGGCTTTCTCATTGGATCAGAATACTGTAGATTTTTGAATGATGTTAGATACCCTGTGGTACAGTAAAGTAGACCCTGTGTTAATAAACCAAATTGGTTCCAAACAAAAGTTTGTTCACCAAAAATTTGTCAACCAAATGTTTCTTTCCATTAGACTTCTATATGGAAGAACTTAATTCATTCCATGAACCCAAAAAACCATTGAACATTGAATATAAAAAATGCAAGACCATCAACTACAATGAGAATTAGTTGTTTCTGCATCTTATGTGAGCCAGAAATGTTTTACAGTGTTATTTGAAGTAGTATACTGACAAAACAAAGATTTAAAAAACTTGTAGTCCAATAAAAGTCAGGACTGCAATATGCAGCACTTTCTAAAGTTCCCTTGTCTGCTTCACGTTTGTTCTGCAGTGTTAATCATATGCAAAACCCAAATACTATATATGCATTAAGAAGCCTTCTTATGCTATGCACCTTTCACCTTGGTTGCTGCACAACCAAGTATGTGGACACCAATCCAAATCAGTTGCTAGGCTTGGCGCTGACCTCAAAACACGATTGTCTATATATATGAGTGTCCACAACACTATGTTATGTTTACTCTCCCAGAATTCTTGACGCAAGAACCTCAACGCCGCATTCTCATACATTTCTACGCTGTGTGAAACAGAAATAGAAGACAAACTTGTATATATTATCAAAGTCTATTTTTGATCCTTCAAAAGCATGCAGAAAACAATCAAATCTTCAATACCAACTGTCAAAGCAGTTTAATTAGCAAGAATTGTCTGATCAACTATTCCGCACCTACAAATTAAGCTAGTTAAGACAACAAACTGCACATCCAAAGAAACACACACTGGTCACTGGTGGATAAATGTCAGGGGAAAATTAAATTTCATTTTTTTGCAGCTGTAAGTATAGATAAAATAGACATTCTTGACAATTCAA